ACCAAACTCTTCAAGAGGATCAAGTTTATTCCTGTGTTTATTTCTGTGTCCATGGGGGCGCTCATGCTGTTGAGTAGCCCCTGAGTGTTCCTAGCCTTCTGCTAGAATGCTCTTAAAAAATGTGTGTATATATATATATAGAGAGAGAGAGAGTGTAAAATAAAATGTGATGTAGAGGCTATAAAAGAGCCTTCACAGATATGATCTGACAGGCTCCTGCTGAAGGTGGTGTCAAGTGTGCCCAGGCAGCAGTGTCACAGCTCTGAAACAACAGGGAGTACTCCTTCTGGGAGTAGTAGTGGTGTGCATTGTGCAGGAGGCAGGAGGTGAAACCGTGTAGAGCTATGGAAACCCAAGCAAATGTGTACAGCAGTGGCTTTGGGTCTGGGAGAGCCTGAGCTCTTGGATGTATTTCCTGCAGCCTTATGCAAGCTTAAGTGGCTTCTCTCGGACTTTGTTAGAAGCTATGGGGAAAAAAAGGTCACATTAAAGGGATAATGTGAAGAAAAAAGAATAACCTTTGAGACTGCTTGTTGCTCAGGTATACTATAGAGAGGAGCTTAGAGACAGATTGAAGCTTAAACTACTCTTAACATGCGAGTTGTATGCTCCTGTGCCATGCAGTTATTTTGGGTGAGATGGTGTTCTGGACTGCAAATGTAGTCTATGTAGAGCAGTTGTTGAAGGTTTTTTTTATGTTTCTTTACTTTTAAAATCTTGTCAAAGTGACTTTTTGGCTGCTGGGTTCTTGTGAAATTCATCTTGGGATATTTGGATACTGGATACTTCTGAGAAGTGAGATAAGAGGCATATAGGGGAAAAAAAGGATTTGCTTTAATTTGTGGATTTATTCAGTACTTGCTTAGAGTTTATGTTTTTTTTTAGGAGTGGCTGGTTTTAGGTTTTTGCTTTTTGTTTCTGTTTTGTTTTGTTGGTTTTGTTTGTTTTTTTTTTCCAAATTGAGATAAGTTCTTCAGCAATGTATAATGTCCACAGACATGAATAGTTCAGTGGTTCATTAAATTCTGCTAGTGCCGTGTTAAAGACCTCAATCAAAATGTGTCATTTTCAGCTGTGCTTTGAGTCCCCCAACAGTCTGTTGCTGCAGTTAATGGTACGTTGCACTTCCCTTTTCTGTTTTAATAGATATCTGGGAGATGGAATGTTGTTAGTAACATCTTCTTTGAATTGAATGTAAACAACTGGATGTTGTTTGAATGCCTAATACCCTCAGGAATCAGAAGAAGCCTTAGTGTGCTCAAAAGACAGCAATTAAAAGATGTTAAGTACTTTTCTCTTTACAGTTTTTTGTGTTAGGAGATTCTGTTGGGTCTCATTGGGTTTCTGCCTCCAAACAGAATTACATTAATTGTAAGATACCTGCTTAACCTGAAGAATCTATATTGCAAGCAAGTATCCACCTAATTTAAAGTTTTTTCTTTTCCTGACTCAGATCAAGTGAGGATATTTGAAACTGATGCTTTGGCTTGTGTTTGCTTTTGGCTTTCTTTTCATCCTATGAAATAGTCTCCACAGCTTGCATTGAGGTAAGGCTGGTAACAGTAATCCTCTGCATGAAAATAGTCTTGGGTTTGGGGATTTTGTTCCTGTTTTGGGGAGTTTCTGTGTTTAGTTAGCTTGGGTGGGTGTGTTTTTATTTTTCTTCTGGTAGGTGCTGCAAACAGTTTCAAGTAACTTACAAGGATTTTGCCAAACACTGTTCCTTGCAGAACTTGTTACATACTAGTGTTTTTTATTGTTGTTAGAAGCCTAAGTATTCTTAATACCATAAGAAAAGCACCCTGTTAGATTAGAAACAGTATATTTACTGGCTTAGTATTTTGAAATTAATGTTGCGTTTCCTGGTGGATTGAATTTCTTCCTCATCACATTCATAAGGAAGAGTATCTGTCTGAGACTGTATCAGCACTCTGCATGACACAGAACTTGATTGCTTTTTAATATTTCATAATGAAAATAAACTAATATCCCAAAGTTATTTTGTAGTAATCATCTGCATCTGTTTTCTGTGAAAAACTGAATGTGGTACTGAGCAGCCACAAAGATGTTGATGTTAGAAATGGCTTACAATGTTCGAAATTATAGAAACCTTTACATTCTTTACTGTTATGAATAATGTTACAGAAATGGATACATTTTGGATTATATCTCCAAATTACTACAGAAATACACCCCCAAATGTTGTTTCTCTCTCTTCCGAAGCCCACCTTGAGGAGCAGTGACAGTAGGCAAGCCTCTGCAGTGCCTGGGAACCTCTGTTTCTTTCTTCTTTTTCTTAGTATTTCATTGTGCACACAGTCCTATTTAATGGCTCCAGAGAATTGAGAGCCAAAATTGTGCTTCCATATACTGTTTTCAAGCTTTTCTGGTTAGTTGGAAGCTGGGGTTGCTCTGATAAAATTATGTACTTCAGTTGCAGACTGAAGATGGAAGATCTGCTGTGTGTCCTTGAAGGATTAGTGATTTATCTCCAAAAGATATACTATCAGTTGTCAGCTGAATTTTGCCATGAGTTATTTGCTAAAAGAAAGCTGTTTCTTGGGAACTATTAACTTGATAAATCAAATAGCTGCTAACATAACTAAAGCTATTTTACAGGCATTGAGTTACTTCTTCTCAACTGTGCCATGCTCTAATGTCAGTAAAGTGCCTGGAAAGCAATTTTATTGTTTAGTCTTACATCTGTATAAATAGCTAATTTATCCTAATGACCGGATGGGACATAATTGGAAGTGACTTTTCAAGGAGGTAATATGCATATTAATTATGAGTGTGAACTAGCCATTAGGAAGACTCTTGCCTGCTTGATCCTCTTAATGCTGGTAAACATCATTATCTTTCCTAATGAGCCATAATGACTGGAAGTAATACTGTTCTACTCTGGGAGCCTGTTGTGGATGTCTGGCTACCAAAACAATTTCCCTGGAGAGTTTTCAACTTACTGAAAATGCTTATGGGACCTCCAGGGCTCTTGTACTTGCAAGATCTAACACTTCTTTTAGGGCTTCTATCCCTGAGAAAGGAGGTATTGTGGGCAGCACTGGGGCAGCGTGTGAGGAAAGCTGGGTTCTTGTCACAGCTCTGTGCTTTTCTAGTCCCTGTGTGACCTTGGAGAAGTGGCTTTGTTTCTGTAAAGTGCAGCATGAAAAAGGGTAGTGGTTGCAACCAAAGGTCCCAGAGTGTTGAAATGTCAACAGACTCTTGCTACAGGAAACCCTGCAGTGTGCTGCACCCAGCAAATGTTTCTGTACTTTCCTGTTAAAAATATAACTATGTGGGAGGAAAAAAATTCAAATTCAGCTCTTGGGACACACAGAACGTTTTTACACAGTGGAATTGTTAATTGCTTTCATAGAGGAAAATGAAAGTATCCTGTAGGAGAGACACTGAATCAAATCCATGAAATACTATTACAGAGACCACATTAGAAGTGGCAGCATATAGTTGGCGTAGCATTGCTCTTGCCTTTGTTGGGAGATGTTTAAATATTTCATGTGTAAGCCAGAAAGTAACCAGTTGGTTCATTGTAACTATATTGCCTTACACGGTTGGTTCACTTCATTCAGCTGCTGGTTTGTGGCTTGATCAGTTTGCAAGTGAAAAATTACCATGGAAAACATTAAGCCTGGTTGAAGCGAGTTTTTTTTTTTATTAATGCAAGCACATCCAGTCAAACACGGAATATTCCTGCTTTATGGTACAGCTTTATATTTAGCATTTCAGCTCAGAATAGCAAAACACAGTATTTAAGGAATGTATCAAACTGAGGGAGGAAAAATAAACAGGAACCAATGTGGATACTGCATTGATTTCAAGTATATACTAGGACCGATTGACTGGTGAAGTGCACATTCATGTGAAAGCTTTTTCATACATTTACAGAAAGTGTTCTAAAATTGCATTTCAAATATATATTTTTTCTTAAATTTTAAGCATCCCTTTTAAATTTCAGTTACATAAACAAAGCTGATATACAATCCCTCTTCTAGTGTCCGACAACATTACTAGCTAGAATATCTCTGAAAGTGCAAAACACTGTAATAATACAGTATAAATATTCTTACTCTAATCCAGGGCTGAAGGTCAGTACTTCAGCACAGGAAAAATAGCAGCAGATCGTAAGAATTATCCTTTCCCCATTTCTGGACTGTTCTTGTCTTTTATTTGTCTTTGATGTCAATGCTATGGGAATAGTAAAATGTTGATTTATCTCCCTCCCTTACCCCAATTTACTCTTTTAAGTATTTGTCAAAGTGGAACAGGGAGAGAGGGAAGGCTCTTTAATTTTTCACGGTACTATAGGTCCAATACAGCAAATAATTTCTAAGTAATCCTAGATGCTGCATGAAACAGTGGTGCTGCTCTTGGTTGTAGGCACTCAGCAAGAAGAGTCTACTGGACTGGAACAAACCAGACCCTTGGTCCTGCAAATCTTACCCCTTCTTCAACAGAAGGCAGAATAAGAGAAAACCCATCTACATGCAGTTGATACTTTTTAAAGAAGCTTGTGCAGAGGTCCTCTGTGAGGCTCTACAAGGAAGGCTGTAACCACTGTAAACTCTAGAGGGCCTTGTTTAATATCATCTAATTGCCTGGCTCAGGTAATTACCTTTACTGTATATCCAGCCCTCAAGCCTTAAGAGAACACTTACTGTAAAGGACAGAAGCTATTAATGGGTAATAATTGGTCAATTCATCAAAATAAGTTTTAATCTGAGCTTTTTTTTTTTTTTCTTCTTAGTTTCTTACCTGATCTCTGAATTAAGTCCTGAACTGTGTATTTTTTTTTATTTTTTCTTGAAAACATAAGCTCCTTGGGTGCTCATTTAGATAGCCAAATCATGTGTAAACTCAAGACTAAGAGAAGAAATTAGAAATGGTTAAGTGCCAGTAGGGTTATAGATCACCTCCAGTTTGGTACTAACCTGGGTTCAAAGGTTTGACCAATCTCTTATGGTGTCTTCCCTTAGATTTCAACATGTTCTGGCTCAGTTAATCATGGCTTATAAAATACTAGGAAAAACTTATTACTTGTTCTTTGCTTTAATTGTCTGTAAGAGCAGACTAGCATTTTCAAAGGAACCTGGGGAATTAAATGACCAGTTCAGTGGTGATTAGCTCTTCTTCAGTTTCTTTGGAAATTTTAGCCTTAATTTCAAATGGGGTATCTGAGTATTTCCCTCTCCCTAGCTCATGTATGACTTCTATTTTCCAAAAACTGTTTTCAAAAAAAACATACTGAGCCTGTTTTGCAGAGATAAGCTAGGTTAGACATCCTTCTCTCAAACAAAATAGTAAACAAAAAATCCCTGATTTCTTTTAAAAAGGAAAACACAAACTACTCTGACAGCCAGAATTTAAATGATAGTTCCCAGAAGTATTAGACATGCGTGCATCTTCACATGTGCACGCACACTTACACACACACACAAACACACATTCCCCAACAGTTACCCCATCTTATCTTTTTAAATCGTGTAACAAAAATAATGTTTGCTGCACCATCAATGTTACAGGCAGGTATACTCTACTTCATGTGCCATATTCTCCACTTTATTTAAAGAGTACTTTTTAGCTGGTTTCAAGACATCCATATTTTTATTTTCTTTACTTCCAGTCCAGCGTAATAGAAGGTACACTAAACGATATCAGTACCTTGTAAGGCACTATTTTCTGATGTAGGAGCGGAACATGCTTACTGCAGATGTCTAAGGCCTTGACTCTACAAACACTAACACGTGTGAACTAACACCTGATTTGAAGGAGACCCTTTACTTCAAAGCTAGAGACATGTTGAGTGCTCTGTAGGATACTGCTCCAGTGGAGTACTTAACTGGAACATCGGCTTTAGTTGAGAAGTGTGTTTTCAATTTTTATTTATTTTGGTTGAAGTAATAAAAAATAAAAATTTGGATGCTAATAGAATAAGATCTCCCCAGGGATACCATCTCCTATCATACACTTCATCTCTGAGAACAGGGCCCTGCCCTTGTATTCAAAATAAAAAAACCAAAACCCTTCACTCAAGTGCCTTAAGGTTGACATGTGAAATATTTACCACATTTTTTTCATAAAAGTTACTGTATATACAAAACAGACCTCAGCCAGTGAGGTCTTTCTCAGCTCAGTCCAAGTCCTTCAGATTGTAAAAACATGTTCATTCAATGTGCTTCAAAGTCTGCAGATCAGATCCAAGAATCTCAGGCTCTGTTAAGCAGAGTTGTCCTAAAAGTAATAAAAAATAAAATTATCTTCCTGTAACAACAAAAAATGTTACAGTTTTGGTGACTGTGGGCATTAGATCTATCTTGCATCGTTACCTGGTGGCCTTTCTTCAAGGGATAAATTTCCAGCTGTTGCAAAGTGGAATATATCCCTGAATTCCAATAAAGTTGCTGACTTTAAATGAAAATTTAACTTTTATAACATTATTCAGGCCCTTAAGATGTGCTGTGGCAACATGATGTTCTGTCATTTTAAACTATGCTGAACAGCATTGGATTTAATGCGAGTTACATTGTGTGGGTGTCATAAATGAAAAGCTTATGTGGACTTCCTAAGGAACACTGGGATCACTGGGAAGCAGTGTCTTGTCTAGGACAATAGTATCCTAATGTAGCTCAACTGCAGCCTAGGACATACAGGCTTCTTCCTTCATTCTTTATGTGGTATGGGTATTTCAAATCTAAGTATCTAACATGATTTACAAAGTTCTAAATCTCTCTTTCTGCCTTGGGCTCAGTATTAGAATTTTTATCTAAATTAGCTGTTCTCATAATGTACATGGAAGAGGTGCTTCCCCCTCTCAGAGGGAAGAGGAATCATTGAGGCTTTTTCCCTTAACAGTAGGCTGAAAATTAAGAGTATTCATATAAAACTTCACCTTTTTATAGGATTAATAAATGCATAGGTATGAGGACTGATAGCAATTTATTATTATCTCTATATATTTGTTTCCCTGAGAAAAGCATGTCTGAAAACTGCTACAAATGTAGATTCTTTTACTGTATTTGATAGCCTAAACAAAGCATATTCTCTTTTGTAGTCCCAGCAGTGATCTTGCAGCCTGAACTGGTCTGGCTGTTTTCAATGACTTAAAGCTGCCCATATGTCCAAGCCATATGGAATTTTTCAGATTTGAATTTTAAAGAAAAAATAAATATATTTGAGCCAAAATGGTCTTAAAATGTGTATGCAAATAGGAGGAAGCTCATGATCACATGCCTGTGTGTGACTGTAAAAAAAACAAAAACACAAACTCCCCCAAAAAACCCCAAACCAAAAAAACCTCATGTTCTCAGGAAGTTTCATACCTGAGTGTTTTCCAGCTGTCTTTCTCCATGTGATTTTCTGGGCCTTCACTTTCAAAGGATGCAATGAACAGAGCTAGTAAATAAAATAAGAACAGTCAGATACATGGGTTTGTTAATTGAAGAAAAAGAATTACAATACAGTAGGTGTAACTTGTCAGACTTCATAATGAAGTTTATTCTCCTCAGAAGCTGATACAGAAGTGATAATACATATTCATCTAATACTTTTGCACTTTTTTTTATCTGCATATTCAGTCTAGTGCTCACTATACTGAATATTCATTCACTGTAATGCTGAGTAAAGGATTTTACCTTCTTCACTATAAATGGGTGCTGTGAGTAGATAGCTCTGAATCTTCTTGTCTTTTTCAAAAGGGCACTCAACCTGTTTCCATGTCAGGAAATCATGGATCTGTCTTGAAATTTCCCAGAACTTCTGCATGAGGTAATTAAAATAATATTATTAAAATACTGTTTTCTTCCAACTATTAGTTCTTTTGTTTCAGTTTCACACCCTCAGTCGTATTATTCATGCTGTTTCTTGTTGCTATTTTAGTACCTTTTAAAACTAACCTTTTAACTGATGGAAATTATGTACCAGCAGATTTTTAGATTCTTTTCTGTACATGCAGTTGTGGATCTGCTGGATATGTAATATAAACATGGCAACTTCAAGCACTTGCTTTCACAGAAATTTGGTGAAACAGTAGATCATAGCAATGCTGAAGGAATTGGTAATATAATGAACTAGAAGTTCAAAACTGGCAAATGTTTATAATTTACAATGTTTTAAGTAGCATTCCAGTTTCTGTAATAGCAAAGTCCTACCTTGAAGTTTATCTGCCCATTGGGCAAGCGGTTTGTATGTATTTTGTGCAGAAAGTAGATATCTTTAATAAACAGGTTGAAAACCGGGATGACTATTTTCTCTCTATTGCTGTTGGCAGTCTGAGATCGCTGTGCCGCTCCTTGCAGGGCTGTGCGGTAGTTACAGAAGTTGCTGGATGGATCCATGTGATGCTGTTTTTATGGGGGGGAAAGGCAGTCAAGTAATACATGTTTCCTTCCTTCGGGGAGTTCATTCTTTATGAATTCTTTGGCCCTCTCCTTAAATTTTCAAAGAGTAGCATATGCTTAGTACATCTAGATTCAGGTTTTTCTAACTTCTGTCTTGCTTGGAAGGAGAATTCTGTATTGGCTTTACACCTATGCTTTATTTCAATGGCTAACAGAAGCCTGAAAGGAAATGAGAAATGTCTATTGGGTGAAACCTCCCAAAATTCTAACTTGCTGTCATCGATCTTTGCAGTGATGGTTCTGGTTAAGTATTTTCATTCAGATCTCCACTAGATGGAGTACTCTTATTAGTTTTAAGTGTAGCAAAGCAGCAGCTGCTGGAGTGAAAACGACCTAATTGGAAAAAATATGCTAGGAAGAAATAACCTTAAAGAAAGCTTGCACTCTCTGCAGGCAAGTAGGGCGTTTGAAATTCAGGAAATGATCTCTCTAATGTTTATGTGCTGGTGACCACTGCCTCGGTGATCTCTGACTTAGTTTTATCCGAACCTCTGGTATGGAATTAGTATTTGGTGGATTTCTAGGTAAAGTCTAAACTTTATACATACCTCTAAAACATCAAATTTGGCTGTTTTGACCTTGGACCAAGTTTTCTTTAGCCGTGCCACAGGACTCAAGTTCATGCCAGCTGAATGGAGAGAGAGGACAGAAAGAAACAACCGAGTTAAACAGTTATGTTAGCCCTCTGTTTTTTTATGTATCGGCGCCAATGTATTTTGGAAGGCAGTTCAGCTTCAGAAACAGAAGTTGTAGCTAACACTTACCCACCCACACATTAATCTGTCACTGGTACATACTGCCCCTGTAGAAGTGTGTATGCTGAGGTAGTCAGCTGATTTAGGGCAAGTATGAGCATCGTCTTGCCAGTCAGGTTGTAAAATGGAGTGCCTTCTGTCATCTGTGTTAAGGATACTCACAGATAATAGCCATCATTGAGTTGAAGTTTCCAATATTGAAGCATTCTCTTGCCACATCAATGAAAAATTCCACCATTCTTGTACGCTGCTTTTTCTTTACAACCTGAAAAAAAACCCACCCAAAGATCTGTTAAGAGGGAAGGGATGGACTGAATTTTGGATGGGATATTCAGTAAAAGGCATTGTAACAGGTTGATTGAATAGATATTTCAAGATTTGATCCAGCTAAATCTCATTATGATAATAGCATTGAAGGTATTTTGTTATGATTAACTTTTGTTAAGAGCAGAAGTATACTATCAATTATTTGTCTAGCTGTGGGGGAATGTAAAGTTTTGTTTATTCATGAAGTTCAGCGTTTTGGGGAATCTTATATAAACAGGCTGGACGTTTTCAGCAACTTCCCATTACTTGAAAAAAAAAAAAAAGATAACCTGAAGCTGTTGTTCTAAAGAATATATGCAAAAAAAAACTAAACCTATGAGGAAGGCGGAAAAGCAGACTTAAGACCAAGGCATATAACCTGAATATGAGGGATAACAGTTACGATGTCCCAATTTTCTCATTTTACAGTGTATACTCTTAAATTATGTTTTGAGAGCAGGTAGTGAAGACGATCAAATGTACAAATTCCCATTCATGCTGACACAAAAATAATCTAGCAAGTTATGCTGAAGGTATCTAGTAAGTTATGCTGAGCATCTACTTTGCAGATTTTTTCTTTTAATATAAATGGCAAAGCAAAATTAATATATAGCATTGTTTTCAAACTTCATTTCCAAAAGCCATCAATCTTTCTCTTTTTCTTTCTCTTTTTTTTCAATTTTAAGCTAGTATTATTGCCTGGATTACATTCATTTATTGAGCTCTTTCCTATATTTAGATCTGGAAGTTTGTTCTGGCTTGTACAAAAGTGGCTCCCAAGTGGTGACTGCAGACTACTTCACAAGGGAATTAGTTTTTCTTTTTAAAAAACACAACCTCTTGCATAAATACTTCAGTTTCCATGTTATACTGAAAGAAAATCATTCAGTAGTCAACGGCTTGGCTTAGCCTTTTTGTTTGACTAGCCATACAAGCCAGCTCTGGAAGATGTCTTGGTGTGTTTTTGTAGTAAGTGTCTGTAACAGCAGGAAATCCTAAGAGATTAGGATTGATATGTCAAACTTCACGAAATTCCCCTAGGAATCTGGATTCCCACAGAAGAGGAATAGGAGAACAGGAGAATTCCTGACTAATAGGAATAGAGAGAAAATGTCCCATTTGCTTGAATTGGTGCATATTAATAGGAACCTAAAATGACAAAGAATAAAAAAAAGTTTGTTATTCAGGGAAAGAAAAAGGTTTATGGGGCAGTGAACTTTCCATTTCTTTATTACGTGATAGAAGTTACTTTAATTTCTAATAAGACTGTTCTTGCACTTTTAAATCTTTCCTGTAGTCCACCTTCTTTTCAGTCTTCAAAGAAAGCTTATTCCTGATTTTTCAACCACAAATATGTATATATGACAATGCTAATGATATCTAAATGCAGTGGAAGAACAGCTGTTCACTGGTAAATCTGCATATAAAGATGAGTATCTTCTTAAGAATTAATGGATGTATTTAAACAAAATAAACCCAAAAGAGCTCCTAATTCAAGCTCCACATGTTTAATTTCACTGCATGACTAATGCTACTACAGAAGATAGACAAAACTAGAGAATACATGCAAAGCCAAACACGACCATGAACTCTCAACCATATAAGCATGAAAATAATTTAATGCTTAAGTAATGCCATTATCTTTAATTGCACTGCTAATGTTTAAATCTCTATTAGACCATTGTCTGTCTCTTGTCTTTAAGGCCAGTATCTCTTTGCTATCTTTTTTTCTATGAATACCTACCCGACAAATCTCTGTAGCTACCAGCATGCTGAGACAATTGAACCAATTGTCATAGGCCTCCAAATTATAGGTTTTGGTCACATCACCTCGGCACTGTAAGAGAACAGGCCACGTGTTAATCCTATCCTGTAGCATGATAAAGTCAACATACCAAAGGATAAATGTCCTTTTCATATCCTGGTAAAATCTTGCTGGATATTTTTTAAGGCAGGCTAGAAAACGTCAGCCTTTCTTGCACAGAGTGTACTCAAATTATGGAGGTTCTTTACCCTGATTATTTTTTGTTTCTTTTTCCCTCCACACCCTTTCTTGTATACCTTGTGATTATCCAGGGAGTCCATGTGGCTGACAATCTGCATCAGATCCTCTGGGTAAATGTTGCTCACCCTTTCCTGTGTTTTGGAGAGATGAGAGATTGTGACTGCACAGACAAACAGAGTTTAGTGAAAAATGCATCAATAAAGCCAAAGTTAGGAGAACATTTTGGTAACTTTTATCTTCCTACAGTTGAGATGTGTGAGGTGTTATTGGTGTAGCTAATTGGTCTTGGTACTTTTTGATTAAAACACTGGAGGCTTTCAGTGAAGCCACAGCAAAGCTTACACAATGAGTATCTTAACATTTACTAAATGGAAAAGTAAATCATTCACACAAATTAGTGCCTCACCAGTTCGACATAGGTCAGCTGCTGTGCCAAGATCAGAGGGTCACAGCACACACTCAGGATGTCCTTTTGAGTTGACTGTGGCTTGGTTTTGAGGATGGTGCCTTTGTCAGTAGCAGGTTGCCGGAATTTCTCTTTGATTTCCTGGTACTGGCTCCGTGCAGAGAGGGCCATCAGGAGGTTCTGTGTCATCTGGCTAATGATCTTTTTCACTGTTCCATTTTCCTAAGCAAAAGGCAGAAACAATGACTGCTAAAAAACTTAAGGTCTTGCAGACACAGATCGCCAGAGAATTTCTGACAGGGAAAAAAATAAATGCCTGCTATCTGTTTTCTTTCATCTTATCTGAGCTGATAATCTTATGTCAAATTAACTTGTCCTAACTGCCCACACAACTTCATAATGACACTGTTATGCCTGCCTGCCTTCCCAAGTCTGTTTTGCTTATTTCGCTGGTCTGCTCCTTGTGGCAGATTTTGGCTAGTACCCCCTTTTCAAAGGCATCCATGTAAACAGCTTAATAGTGGTTAAGGTGAAAGGTGGTTGACTTGCTTGCACAAGGCTTCTTGGATTCTCTGTGTTCAAAGTGCCAAAAAGCTCCTTCTCATTGTGACCAGACCCACTGATTATCAAGTCTAGCCCAGGCATAACCTAGGGAATTAATATGTCCAAGAATATATCCCTAAAATACACTGGTTTGGCTTTGAACAACTACAGCATACGAAGATTTTGGTAAAAGCACAATGCACATCATGCTCTTGGACAACTAAAATGCCTTTCTGTTTATCAGGTGCAGATTTTAAACATAGGACCAATAAGGATACCTACCAGTAAAGCCAAAGATCTGTTATCCATCTGCTCAGTGTTTTGACAACTAAGGCATGCTAAATGCTTTCTGCCATTGTGTCCTACAGACATTCCTCAATGAAATCAACTCCAAAGAGCTAACTTGATCAGTGTTCTGCTTTCCATCCCTCCTGTTACTGCTTTAAATGACCTAGGTTCTCCAATCCTGTTCTTCCTGCTCCTTAGAAATTGGAAAAACATAATTCTACCAAAGACAGTCCTTCTCTTTCCTACACAATTGTTCTGTTGCTTTCATGCAAATTATTTCTCTCAGCCACAATAACTGTTTACAGCTTGCTCTGTTGGTTTCTGCCAGTCAACTGGATACACTAGAAAGAACTGCAATGAATCTGTGATTGTTCAAAGAAGCCACTAATGTGCAGTGATGACTGAAATTATGTACCAGATGTGAGAGACGGTGACTACCAAATACTTGCATATTGCATGGTATAATTAAGCAATAATAGTGTCAGAGTGTTGCTTTACAAGGCAATAATCTGACTCCCAAGTGAAATCAAACGAAAAGCTGAAAGCAGCGTAGCTCATCTTGAGGCAACCGGATTACTGCCGAACAGCAGCTGTCTAGAGCCATTTGTGATATTGTGCTACAAGTGTTCAGAAATGCCAAAGGAGCAGGGTGTGGAGGGTGCTAAAATAAAGTGCTGATTGTGTTCTCTGGTATCCTGAGCTTTCTATTGTAAACCATTTTACTTCAGCTGCTGTGTCTGATTTAACTACACCTTTGGGAGGAAGCAGACTTCCTAGATACGGACCACAAAGAATAAAACTTGAAGGCAGGTGGGAGTATCACAGTATGTGAAGGCAGATCAAGAAACTGAAGTGAAATGAAAAACTATGGTTTACTTAAGCTACTGTAAATTTATTAGCATCTTAATGCTAAGACAAATGCCCGTATACATTTAGCAGTTTTCTTTCGTTACTTAGTCTTACCCTAAATTTTCTTACAACTTTGGAAAATAAGTCAATGAAAGTACAATAACTTGTTTGAATTCAAGCAAGACATTTGTTCTTGGGGCACAACCCCGGCTGTACCGATAGCTATCTGATAATGCTGTCTGCTATCACTAGGACAAGCATCTGACTGCTTTCTATGAGTTCTCAGTTGACTTTACAGAATCACAGGATGGTTAAGGTTGGAAAGCACCTTAAGATCATATAATTTCAACCTCCCTGCCATGGGCACAGACACCTCACACTAGACCATGTTATCCAAGGCTCTGTCTAACCTGGTCTTGAACACTGCCAGGGATGGAGTATTCACGACTTCCTTAGGCAGCCTGTTCCAGTGCTTTCTATCCTATGTATGGAGAATAGTGTCTTAGGAGAATAGGAAAAGCTTTAAAATACAAAATAAAACTCCAAACCATTGCCGTAATCCCTTGTGGAAGCACAGTATGGGTATACTTATTATACTTATTATATACTTATACAGTATTGTGGTGACAAATACTGAGAGCATGAGCTGTTTTTTGTCACTGATGTCAAATTATGTGTCATGGGAGTTAGATGTGGCACAGTTCTTTGCTGATCAAGTTTGATCCCCTTAACAAGGCTACAAGTCAAAACAGTGATGCGGTAACTAATGGATGTCATTAGATTCCTCAGACGCCAGAGCACTGAGCCACTTCAGGAAGACCTGTTTCTCAAATGACAATTTATTCATACATATCAGAGTGGGAGGAAAGGGGAAGAGAAAGAAAGACCACAAGTTCACTCTAGTTCAAAGTGATAGACAAATTAAATACTAAATGCTAAAAAACTCTGCCAGGTCCCCTTTCACAGTAGTATCTCTGCCAACACACATAAACCTTTTTGTCCTTGTCTACAAAAGGAATAGAAGGAATATTACAATCCTATTTCCTTTTCTCCTCCTACTCTCGGGCGCTGACATTTTCATAGTGGCATCCAAGTAAACAGCTTTGCTTATGCAATAAAACTGACATACTTCCTTTTGACAACTTGGTAGCACCTAATCGTATTGTGTCCTATTGCTGATTCATGCAGTGCTGTCAAACCTGTTGGTCTTCATTTTCTCCATACATGAATCAACAGAAACACATAATACAACTGCCTTTCCATTTCCTGCTAGTTGTTCTCAAATATCTTGAGGTGGTGGGTTTAAAAACAAGAAGCAGCTTCTGCTTCTATACGAGTATGCCTTTCATGTTCATACAAATGCTTAACAATTAATTCCCTTGCAGTCCTTCTTTCTGTCTACTGGTAGTGACCTTTTCAATGAGGAAAATAAGTGTCAGTTCAACCCTTGTTTTATTTGATTTTGATTTATCTGTTTGCTTTACAGAAGTCTTGTGGGGCCTAGTTTTCTTCATAGGCTAGAAACTCAGAGCTGTTAAGACTGATGAATGACTAGGTAGCAAAGTTTCTTTTGTGGAATTATTGTGTATGTCACCTGAGACACAGCAAAAAAACAGTTGCTGATTATTGTTAGGAACTAAGAATGAACTATTAAATAATAAGCATCTTCACCTTGAGCAGTAATACATAGAATTATAGAATATTTAGGGTTGGAAAGGACCTTAAGATCATCTAGTTCCAACTCCTCTCACACTAGACCATGTCGTCCAAGGCTTTGTCCAACCTGACCTTGAACACTATCAGGGATAGAGCATTTACCCCTTCTTTGGGCAGCCTGTTTCAGTGTCTCACCACCCTCACAGTAAAGAACTTCTTCCTTATATCTAACCTGAACTTCCCCTGTTTAAGTTTAAACCCATTACCCCTTGTCCTGTCACTGCAGTCCCTGATGAAGAATCCCTCTCCAGCACCCTTCTAGGCCCCCTTCAGATACTGGAAGGCTGCTATGAGGTCTCAACGCAGCCTTCTCTTCTCCAGGCTGAACAGCCCCAACTTTCTCAACCTATCTTCATATAGGAGGTGCTCCAGTCCCCTGATCATCCTCGTGGCCCTCCTCAGGACTTGTTCCAACAGTTCCATGTCCTTTTTATGTTGAGGACACCAGAACTGCACACAATACTCCAGGTGAGGTCTCACGAGAGCAGAGTGGAGGGGCAGGATCACCTCCTCCGACCTGCTGGTCACGCTCCTTTTGATGCAGCCCAGGATATGGTTGGCTTTCTGGGCTGCGAGTGCACAATGAAGCCGGCTCATGTTCATTTTCTCATCAACCAACACCCCCAAGTCTTTCTCTGCAGGGCTGCTCTGAATCTCTTCTCTGCCCATTTGATACAACTAGCTGATATGCCTTGTGGGACTTGGAGTAGTAACAAAGGTTGGAATGTAAGTTATGATGAAAGTTAACTATATTGTGCCGTTATAGTCACTGTCCTTTCTCCTTTTCCACTACATCCATTTCTCGTATTTTGTCTCTTTCTCTTACACTTGATTATACAGTAGACAGTTTCTGGTAATGGACCATTAAATTCATCTCTTGGCCCATGTCCTGCACTTATATTGACAGTTTACAGGGTTTGTATATTTAAAGGTTGACAAATATTGCTTTACCACTTAATGTTTATCCATCCCTACCTCATCACATTGTGTGATTCTGTGAGCAATCTCCTTCAATTCTTTCATGGATTTTTCATCTTGGAAATCATAGGGGAAAGTTTCAGTCCATTCCTTCAGGAGCTGAATGATTTTGGCAGCGAAGGATTTTAGCTTTGCCTAGAAAGAGACAATGAGTTGATTACTGACCAAAGGCTCTTCTGACTGCAGAGTAAATTATCTGATGAAGGTTCACATAAACTAGAGACACCCTTGAAAATACTTTGCATTAGTAATAGGTGAAGAGGACAAAAAGAATATATTTAACTGTGAGCTAGTTTCCCAAATAGTTTGGTTTGTCCTCCTTTCATGGTAACTGGTAATATCTCTTACCAAACACTGGAAAGATATTTTCAAGGTTAGTTGTACGAAGCCAGGAAGATGACAGATTAGTTTGTGACTTACTTGATTGAAGTCAATGGGACTTTTGCCGATTTATGCCATCTCAGCCAGCAGTACCTTAGTGTTTGAATTCAAATGTATACAAGCTGCAGCACTCTAGCAAGCATCTTTCATAAGAGACACTCACAAAGACATTTTTATTCTATAGAATTTATCAGACCCTCCATGTTGAGTTGTATATTTAAATAAATGAATGTCAGGAAAGATGTGCATGTGTTCTTTCCATGACATCTAAATCTAGATGGACTTTGCAAATAAAAAGTATTGGCTCTTACTCAAAAGGCTGACAACCATAGAAAGGGAAGGAAGAGCTATTTTCTACGTTCTTCTGTTACCCATGAATCTTTAAAGACTTTTCATCAGTTAGGCCCAAATTATTCCACTATGCTAAGAATAGACAGCAGCATCAGTAAATCCAAGGAAGCACTCCTGTAAAATTTGGAGTATGAGTGCTAAGAACACTTTAACAAACAAGAAGAATCAAAACTTAATTCAGGTTGTATTTATCTTTCCACCCAGCTTGTGATGCACTGAAGAAAAAGAGGAAGCTTTCATTTGTGTTTACCTTCCCACTTGTGCAAGCTACAGAAGTTCCACTACACAGCAGTTCCTTCCCCCATGCACAGTGTGCTTTCCTCATTGCACTCTTAGGGATTTACAGAAGGTGACTTAGCATGTGAGTGTCACTACAGGAAATTGGTGTATTTTCTTTTAAGACAAATAGAGACTGTGTTCCAAGAATTGGTAGGGATTCCTGCCAAAACATCATCTGATCATGGTATTGTCCCAGTTTATTTGATCAAAACCAAAAGTCAACCAAAGTAAGCTGATTTTTTTTTTTTTTTGCATTTCTTTACATCTCACTTATATACAGTCAGTGCAATATCAATAATGATTGATAAGAACTCTTAAGTTAAACCATGCACACTTGAATCCCCAATCTGAAAATGATCCAGTGTTCCTTGTAAGTCTAAAGAGAATTTTCTTGCCCTTTTATTTTTTTTCCTCCCAGAACAGCAAACTGCATTCTGCTAGCATTTTTTTCCTGTTTTTATTGATAACATTAATTTATCCTCTTTGTCCTGGGTTCAGCAGTAGCAGTCATTTTTCCCCTTCTTGGTAGCTGGTACAGTGCAGTGTTTTGACTTTCAGCTCGGGAACAGAGCTGATAACAAGTGATGTTTTGGTTTGGCCAAGGACTCTGTGAGGCTCATGCTCTGCCAGGGAGGAGGGGGAGCCAGGAGGAAGTAGAGACAGGACACCTGACCCAAACTGACCAAAGAGGTATTCCATACCACAGCACGTCATGCCCAGGATGTAACTGGGAGTGTTCTCGGCTGGTGGTGAGATGATGTATTCTCTTCCCTTGTTATTTCCTTTATCATTATTATCATTGGTGGTAGCAGTAGTGATTTGTGTTATACCTTAGTTACTAAACTGTTCTTATCTCAACCCGTGGGAGTTGCATTCTTTTTGATTCTCCTCTCCGTCCCTCCGAGAGCAGGGGGAGGGCAAGAAAGGGGGGGAGTGAGCGAACGAGTTACCTGACTGGGTTTAAACCACGACACTCTTCATGAGAGAAGCACAGAATAGTTGTATAGTGAGGGCAAAAGAAATCACCTTTCTCTGGCAGCAGACGTTCCTGCAAAGCAGTGACTGCTTATGTCACTTCTGTGGAGCCCACATTCAAGGTATTTCTGAATGGTATAGGACAGAGTTCCAGATTATAATTGTCTGTCCTCTGAACTCACATTGTCATTGGCCCTGGGGAAAATACAATTTATACTTCTTTGCTAAGGAATTTATGGAGCCTGACATTACTAAAAGAATAATCTGTAGGTGGTGACAGAGAATTAATTAGCCAGCCAGTGTGGTTTGCTTCAATTAAGTTAACAAGTGTATGAATACTCCACTTTTGTTTATCAAAAGTGGAACAGATTTTTGGTATTAATTATCCTAACTAGACTTTCTTTTTAACTTCTGAAAATTAAAAGGGATGGATGGGGGCAGGAAAGTTCCAGAATCCATCCTTAGGCCATGACAAGCATCTCTATATGAACACTAACCTCTTATCTTACGTATCTGCTCATGAGTTGCTAGCATTTGCTTCTTCCATCGTGATGGAAAGCTAGGTATCTGTTGCGAGACAAACTGCAAACAATGTTATTTGTTGTGTAATTACTCTTCAGATGTAAAAAGGTGTAATGTTTTATCAAAAGCTCTTAATGTTAATGAAAATAAGGTATGCTTTCTGAGAGCAATGCTATACTATAAAACATCAGTAAAGTAAAAGATGAGTTTCCTGTTTCATGTACACTCTGATGAAACCCAAAGCAGTGTGACAGGCTCGATGCATGTAATTTGTAATAGCCTAGGTAAAAATCACACAGATATGTGGGTAGCAGCACGCATTTTCCTTTTTGCCATGGTTGCAACAAACCTACCAACCTATTCTTTCTGTAGTCCTACCCCAGATGTGAGCTTCCTTGTGAGACCTGACAAAGAGTTCTCTCGAGTCTGTGGGAATACTTTTCCCATAAATATTTCTTTGAGAAGGAAAATACTTCTATTAAGTACTGTGGATCAACTCTGTACTGAATGAGACAAGACAGACAGGACCAAAAAACAACTACTAATTAGACAGGACGGCAATAGCAGTACTGTGCTTGTAAGAAAGGGAGGTTTAATGACAATGACCCAATTATAAGTATTGTTTTGATTTTTGATTTTAAAAAGGAGTACTTAGTGGTGTCAAAACCCAAGGGAAATCATAATGTTTTTGATAGGACTTCTGTATCCCAAGACAGGCTTAATAGAAATTAATTTCTATTTTCTCATTTTATTTCTGACTTTTTTGACTTTTGAGTTAAAAAATACCCTCAAGCTGCAGAAATTATGCACCACAGTTTTAACAACAGGTTTTTCCACTGAGTAATACTATACAATTTTTTTTTTTTTTTCCTGTGACAGTCTAGTTTGGGTCTTTCCAATCTCTAATGCACTTACGGGGAGTTAAATTTTATCCTTTATGGTCAAGATTAACTTCTGACTTGTATATTATAATTGAAGCCTTAAACCATGAAACCCTTCCTTTTTATGAGTGGCCAAAGGAGCTTTGAGCAGGCTTCATGACATCCCAGAGTGTTTTTCTTTTCAATCTACTTCACTCTGGATTGTGTTCTGCAGGACTCTCTGACTAGCCAGTAATGTCAAAAACAAACGAATGATAACTATTGTGATGTGTAACCTCAAAACTTGGCTCCTTGCCACTTTTCCAGCTCTTATGCTATCCAGACTGCAAGTCAGCCAGCTTCCCGTCTTAAGAGACTTGCACAAGCAAACACTGTCAGAAATGATCAGAGCTGCTTTAAGTGCTTTTGCCAGCTATTTCCTGCTATGGAACCACTTAATTAGAAGGTGCTGGTAGCTGATTATACTTTAATGGGTTATGACTATGAATACACAAAGTGTCTGGAGTTGAGAATTTTTATGCTGCATATGAAATGAGTTTTTATTCATTGCCAGATAGAAAAACAAATGTTTGTGAATGCTAGTGGCTGAACTTTTCTGTAAAACATACAGGTGCTTGCAGTAAAGGGCATCAAAGTAGTCATTTGAGAGGAATGTCAGAAGCTTATGTAGTGTTTTCCAAGAATTTTCTGTTTAGTGGGCAGGAAAAACGTTACAGTTTATATTAAGGGGGTAGGAAGGGATCAAGGCCATGGTAGGAAAAGCAACCAGCAAAGCATGAAATTAAAGCAGCCTCCCAAACACTCGTGTTTTACTGTGACCCTGCTGTTTGTTGGTTTTCCTGTAGGCCCATTTCCAATTTGTCAGCAGAAGGTGCAAGAGTGTGGGTGTTTGGAGTATGAGCTGCTCTATTCCACAGCCTTTTCAAAGTGGAAGCCATGATTTTTAAAACATCTGCTGAAAAGCCAGAATAATACTACTTTACAACTAATAGCTTTAAATAGCTGGGTGATTTAGTCCCCAGATACTATTTTCATTTGAAAATCTTGTAAGTGTATTGTTATTCACGAAAGTTTCATCTTATCCCATTATTTTTAAATCCAAGTATTTTAGAGATGTATTTTGACACTGGCTGCTGACAGCAGTTGTCTTCATATGTCTAGAACTTTACCCATTGCATGATTCATATGGTCCCAGCATCTCTTACAAATTCCTACCTCTGTTGTTTAGTTACCTGTTGCTGAGGAGCCATTACAATTTAGTGTCAGTTTGAGGTTGCTCAGTCGTGAACTAGTTCAGCAGTGACAATGGGAACAGTTATGACTTCTGTGTACAAAGCTGGATGCAGTGGTTCTTGCAACTTCTTTACCAAACCCCTTGAATTTACCAGCACCTACACCATGAGTTATATAGCTGTTTCGCGAATTGATCAGGGGACTGACCTGTATGAAAGTAATTTTGCTCTAAGTGATTAGTTTTCCCTATGAAGTAATTTTGTGACATAATAAAAGACTACATCCCAGGAACAGTAAGGGAGACAGAGATGTCTGTACTGCTGTCAGAAGATCTGTATTGCCAAACCACAGAGTTATTTTTTTGTAGTTCCTACTCAAGAGCAGTGATACACCAAGGAGAAAACAAAATGGGATAACAATATGCTGAAAATTAGGAATGTGAGGATGTAATTTCTCACCATAGAAGAATGGATCCAAAGCATGCCTGGGATTTGAGCAATTTAGGTCTTTAAGTACTTGCTGATTTCATCCTTATTTCTGTTGCTCTTATCTGCATCCCAGCTTGGACTATTCTGTTACTTCAGTTTCAGTCAAAATCCGTCTAACTCACCGTTATGGAAAATGTGTATTGAAGTGCATATCGTAAACTGACCTAGTCTGGTTTAATCAGTTGTAGCAAAACTGCATAGTCATATGGGTCAGCACAGGCTACCATTTTAAGTAGTGCATACCTTAATTTTTGTAAGAAGTAATTCTGGTTTACTTTCACACCAGCTGAAAAACACTGCACCAATAATCTATAGTAGGGTGCTCAACTCTAATAGGATGCTGAAAGGGAATGCAGAAAGGAGACTCAGATTCAAGAAAGTCCTAACTTGATGAAAGCTCAAAAGGGCGAAATGGCTTGCAGGGCAAATTTTATGGCAGATACACATTGCACCAGTCCACAACACTGACCTGTAGCAAAGCTGTATTTCCAGCCACTGTATCCAACTGGTAAGGTAGTACATAGCCTGTTTGTGGCTAGCAAAGAAGGAGCGGTACTTCAGCACGAAAGATGCAAATGGAACTGCATCCAGCAATGCATGCCCAATTACAATTTCCATTTATTCTTTATCAGTTTATTCAGCTTTACAATGAGAGAGAGAAAGTGAGAAATAAACAGCAGTAGCACAGCTAACTGAAGGACATAACGGTTTACCTTTTCTGCCTCAATCCCCATTTCTAGCTGCTGCTTCTGTTTAATGCAGAGCTGTCCCACTTTAGCCAGGAGCTCATGTGGGTGAATGAAGACTCGTGAGCTCAGAAGGAAAGTGAAGATGTATGTCCTCTGTGGAAGTAGAAAGAAAAAAAAGTTAAATAACTTTATCCAAAATAATCTGCCTTCCTTGGAAAAACTATTCCACAAACCCCAAATGTAACTTTCTTTCATTTAAAGTTTTTAATAATTTTTTTCCTGCCTCCAGAGACATGGTGGTTTTTTCTAGGTCTGTTAAAAGGAAATGCTGTAGGCTTCAAGGTTGTTAACTGTGGTGTTTTCAGATTCCCAAATTATTTCCCTTTAAAATGCCAAACTAGTCAGTGCTCACCAAAAAGACAAATGAAATACATCCAGTGCAGGGCGCTGTGCCTCTTGAACGCCACAATTTGTATTGCTTTGTTTCTTTAAGAGTGATTGTTTTTCACTGAGCTGCAGAAAACTGCTTCATGTGTCTTCCAAACCACAGCTGTAATTTCTTCATCTATGAGGTTTTTTTCTTCCTTTTTTCCCATAATCACTGACACAAGCTTTAGCTTAGATTGTGACCGTATGACAGTAATTCATTTTTAAGCTTAACTTTACTTATTTGGGGCCTGTTTCAGAGTCTTTTGAGCATGAACACTGCTAATAAATGCCAGTAATTATTATTTCTCATTAGAAATATCCTCTCCATTTGTATTTTAAAAGCTGTAATTCATTGCATTCTGAATCATCCTCTGGACAGTTTTGTTGAAGTGACAATGCCTTCATGCCCTACTCTTGCTACAGTGTTTGAAATTAGACTTCTGTATTTGAATGTAATTGCTGAGTAATGACTGTAGTATCTCATAAGCACTTCAGTTTTTCCTTTAGGCTTTTTGCCAAAATTTGTAAGAATTGTAGGGGATCTCTTTGACAATGAATTCCAATTAACCTTTGTTATGTTTGCAGTGTGTACTGTTAGTTTGCACTGTGTTTTTAGAAATGTGATTTGGCAGGCCACAACCAAGTATGCATATAAATAGTGAATGTGCATGTATACAACCTTGGACTGGACAAGTAAATTGAGACAGATAAAAGGTATGACCAGTTGTCTAAAAAATGGCATCTCTACTATTAGCTACTGAATTCTGCTGCTTGCAGTCTCTAAAACACACTTGTAGTTAAACAATCATCGTATCTTTAGGACACCAAAATTGTTATGGGGTTTATTTCTAATCACAATAATATGTGTTATTAATGAAAAATGTTTCTACCTCTTTAGTACTCAGTGTGCCCTAGAAAATAAATTTAGCATTAAAATCCTTCAAATATCAGAAGGGGAAAAATGACATGTTCTTTTTAACAAAATAAATAAAAATAACTAAAAGCCACAGTGTTCTGGGACTGAAGAAGCAGCATAATAAATTGTGTATCTATTAAACATCCAACTCTGTCCTGAGCTTGTGGAAGAAGGTAATGAAAGAACATTGGAGTGTGATACAGCAAAGGCATTTAAAAATGCTTATTCTGATTTGAAAATCTGATTAGCACTGGGGTTTATGTATTAAATTAGGAGTAGCATTCATTCTCTACAATGAAAGCTGGTGTTAATCCATAGTCTTTCCTTTTCTGTTGTTTATGAATAGAGGAACTGAGGAGAAGGGTTAACTGGATGAACAGTTTGGGTCAGGTACCTGAGTAGTGCTTCTGCTTACAGAAAATGGACAGCTGGGGCCACCTAACAATCAGGCTCTTAGTGACTTTGAGCAGGTGGCAAGGGCAGTGACAGGACACTGACAGAATGGCTACCCTTCTTGATGGCATGGTTGCTAACATCCTGTACAAGGGTATATTGTGAAAATTTGAGTAACTGGGCTTCTGTTTGGTATTTTGTTTATGTGTCTCTACAGGATTTCAGAGTTTATTTTTACATTTCAACAACAAAAAAATTGCAGTTCATTAATTTTAGTAAGAAATTCAGTGTAGCTCTTACACCTGCATCTGAAAACAGTTAATGACATTGTATCAGCTTTAGAGAAGCTTTATAAACATCTATGGTAGTGTATGTGATGTGTTATGGGCATAAAATTAGGTTGAAGAACTAACCTGAATCACAGAAGGGGACTTGGTTATATTATCAGACAATGCATTAGATCTTTAATGCTTATGTATATGAGAATGATCCCATAACTGATGAACTCCCTAATCAGAATAAAACAACATAAAGAATAGTATGGGGCTGTGAGATTTTTCTTTTGGGTAGGGTGAGATTGGAGTGGTTTTGTTTGGTTCTGTGTGTTAAACTATACCTGGTTATCCTCTGTTGGTTTTTGTAGCCAGCTTCCATGTTTATTTCTATCAGTGTTGTCCCTGAACTTAAAATTGTGAGTCTAGGCTATTGGGGAAAAGAATACAGCTGTTGGGTGCATCAGCTGTCACTGGCTTGTATGAAAATTTGTTCTGGAAACATGAAGCAGCCCTCATTTATACTGTATTTTGCATTTGAGAGATAGGGAATTAAAAAAACCCAACAAAACAGACTTTGCTACTTTCATCCCTTCCCCACATTCTTGTTTTGGGAGTTTAGAAGCCTTTTTGAATGATGGCTGTGCGTGTAAGTAGCAGGGAACCACAGCTTAAGCCACACTGCTCTTGCAGTGACCTTTGCTCTGATAAGCTGGAACACATTCTTTTAAGGAAAGATATAATTTTGCTTCTCATACTAATTCTAGTGTTGGTCTCTTTGGTGGAAGTTTATGTGGTGTGGGACAGCGTTTATCTCAGGCTGACACTGAGAAAGGCCCACTCAGAGTACCATTTCCCTATTGTTATACTCCAAGAAAAGTATGACCCAGATGACCTGAGATTTTATTTGGTTTCGATAATGTTTCATATGATCTTCAAAGAAGTGCCAAACTGGCAAGCTGCAGGAAGATCATATATATGGCAACAAAAGCGCATCCCTTCCATTTTAGGCTTGCTAATGTCTCTCTGTAGTCTGTAATAACTGTACTGGACCCATGTAATGTTTTTTCCAGACAACACTGGACTATTAGGTTTCAGAAACAAATTATTATTGCTTCTGCAACCCATCTGCTGTATTTTTAATCAATTTTTTAAGTCACTTAACTGGAACTAGGTTCAGTACTTTGGAAAACAAAATTGTTCCATTGTGGTCAATCTAGATATGCTGGTTTACAATATATTGGTATCTAATTGGGTGTGTGTGTGTGATACTTTTATTGCTTATGCTGTCATAGACAAGGAGTAACTGCAATTAAGAATCAAATTAAAAATTATAGGTCTGACAGCAGTATCGACCTCTATCTCCTTGCCTCTCTGCTAATAAGCATTCCCTATCTAATAAGGAAAATTCAGTCTGAACTAAGCTATACATTTCAGCTTAGTGGTAGGTCTCAGGGGTTAGGAACACAGTTGTTTTGGATAGGAAGTATTTCCTACTAATATCACATATATTACCTAGATCAAGGACTTCTGTGATTTGTTGCGCCTTTACTATGATACACATATATGCTAAATGTTTTAACGGTGTAAAAATCTACCCTCTCTCATAGGCAGTTCCTTAATCATAAAGAAGATGGTTTGGAGAAGGAAATTTAGCTATGAAGCTAGCTAGTTTGACAAAGAATTATTAAAAAAACTTCTACAAGCTATGAGATTGGAAATTAAGCTTTATTTAGCCTACAAAAGTGACAGGTATTTGGGAAGAGAGGGAAAAAAAAAATCCTTTTTGCACTTGGAACAACATAAACTGACACAAAAGGGCTTGTACTTTACAAGAGAATAAGAAGCCAGATTCCTTTAGTGCCTGAAGTTGTTGCTAAGAGATGAGCTGAATTATATTTAAAAAAAGAGAGAGAGTGCAAATGCAGAAGGCTAAAGAAGGAATTGTTACTCTCTGCCTGAAGAATGCACTGATGTCTTCATGTCTTCTTGAGGAGGAGGGGAAAAGAAAGAAAAATGTTTTCTTTGTGCACTCTCTGCTCATTCTGGAACTTCGTGTTTGTGAAATATTTTCTTGAAACGCTTTTTTTTTGCTTGGGCACAAGGGTTGCAGACTGGTACATTCCATTCCTAACCTCCCGAACTCCTTCGTCTCATGAGTATACGTTTTTCGATGTGCTGAACAAGTCCCTGTAGACAAACAAGCCTCCAAAGAGCAGGACACAAATGTGGGCCCTTATCTTTCCCATCCCCCCTTTGCCTGTCTCGTGTTCTGCCAACATGGCAAATACATTCTTGTTTTGCCTCTGTAACCAGCAGAGAAAGATACTCTGTATTTGCTTTCTCCCCCGCCCCTTTTTTTTTTCCCTGTCTGGAAGGTTCCTGTGGTCTTCAGCTGCACGTCCACACAGGCGAGAATGCCTTCTAAGCCTTGTGCTCAGATGTACTAATCCTAAAATTTGGACAAGTACTGCAACTTATGGATATGTCACTCTGAAACTACAGTAATTTCTGCTACTGTTACCAATAGCTTCTCTTGCTGTGAATTAACTGGTGGTTCCTTGCTGCCTTTCTTGGCATGTGTAGCCAGAGACATGAGGCTGAGAGGTGCTTGTACCTTTCTCTTGAGTACACGAGTATTGGCTACTCTTCTGACAGTGTATCAGCTTAAATGGCTATCACTCTAACCCTCTGTGGCAACTTCCCTAAAAATAGAAATGAACATGATACTAAGTCTAAGCATTGGATTTAAAGGTAACTCAAATGCTCCTTCCTCATACAAATTGTTATCTGCTTTGTTTATATAAAATAAGCTTTGTTCAAAAGGAGTTGAACAAAATAAGTTTTTTTTCAAAGCTTATTTATCTACTCATTTTATAATTAATCCTTTCAGCTAAATTGGGTGATCTGATTTAACTAAAAGAACGTGTCCTGCTGTAAAGGAGATGAATTTCCTTTAACACTGTTTTCTATTCTTCCCTGGAGTTCCCTTAATTGCTTCTGTTGTATCTCTCTCAGCTGTCAGCTTGCTGTCTATTTAAACTGCAGCCTCTGGGGGTAGGGTCCATGAGTGCTTGGTTTGCAGGGTTCCCTTGCATGGGGTGTGGGGTAACACCATGGAAACCAGTAGCATTCCAAAATACATTGTAGACCCCTTAAGTAATGCTCACCTTCTGGAACCATTTTCAGAGTAGCTGTGTTATAAATAGATCTTATGTTACAAATGACAACAAGGAATGTGTATTAGCAGCTACTTAAAAATATTGGCTGTACTCCTGAAACCAAGCAGCAAGTAACTGTATTCTAGGAGCACATAAAAAAATGGGAATGGACTCCTTGGAAGACTTAACTACAGCTGCCCAGTGGTACACCATACTAGCGCTACTTGTTGCTTTCTTCTGCACATTTGTTCTGCAGTTTGTATTTAGGGGCAGGGAGCTGACACTTAACGTCTAACAACGGTTATCCCTCTGTGTCTTATGAAGGAATTAGTACTAAGCATCTATCAAAGGTAGTGAAATTGTATCTTAGTCATATTTAAATGAAAGGTTTAGGGTTACTTTTGAACTGGAATATTAAAATCTCCTGGTTTTGCTTATTTTAATCTTCTACTGATGACAGCTGGCAATTCTCCTGCTTATAACCAATGAACACTCATATGTGGAGTCTCTTTATGAAGATGAGTGGTGCACACATGGGAGCTTGGAGGGATTTTATTGTGGCTGATGTGAAACCACAGTAAAAAGTTTTCCACTAACTGGACTGAGAAACATACAAGATATAGCATGGCTCACTATGACAAATGTTAAGTCCAGCATACACGTTAATAGTGATTTCAATTTCCTAACTCTTGTTAGTCTTTATAAAGAGATGGGATTTTTCTGCCGCAGCTACCACTTTTTCAGAGCTCAAATGGAATATAGGCTATATAACCTCTCTGATCTTTGGCAACGTGTTTAAATATCCCTTGTACCCATTGGTGAGAGATGTTAATTTTAAGTGATCAAGTGCTCTCTTAATAATATCCTCGGTTCAGAATCTCACTGCATGCCCTGGAGTTATAAATGCTATTTACTTCAGGGGACTGCACTAAGGATGTTTGATCAGTTGCCGAATCATTTTCAGGCTTAGAAACATACATACATACATAACAGTACCGGCCCGTTAAAAAGGCTTGAGAAAGAAAGCATTTTAATTGATTTTTTTTTTTTTTCTTTTCCTGATGGCCTAAGAGATGCATAGAATTAAAAAAAAAACAAAACCCAAAGCAAACAACCCAACAACAAAACTTAAGCTGATTTCAGGTCTGCTTTACTAGGTAGGAGCTGGTTAGTAGTTAATCTTGGCTGCATTAGAGCTAAAGCAGCTTAGAGAGATTGAAAATTTTGTGGCTAATGCTGCTTTTAATTGGTTCTTAAGGCACCCATTTGGCTTCAACACAGCTTTATCTTTCTAACAAGTGTTTTCATTTAAAACCCGAGAGTATCCCCATTGAGCAAGATCTTTACTGAATGAATATTGCAAGTAAAATAAATGCATATTTAGCCTACATCTTAATCTTGAATCAGATGGAATTAGAATTTCTGTATACTAACTGATGCAGATATTAATGCAGGAAAACCATGGGAGGAAAAAGAAAGCCCTTCAGTGGCTACTTACATCTGGATAATAGTCCATGGTGGGCACCAGGTGCTCTATCAAGGCCTCCAGTGATCCAGAAACAAGGTTCCCATCCTGATAAACAGGGTCCACACACCTCTCCCCCATATCTGGCTGCACTTGCCCACTACAACTGGAACCAAGCATGCTGGAAAATATTGGTGTCTGGGGCATAGTTTCCTGCAGAAGCAGCAAAAAACAAACCAACAAGAAAGAAGGTTAAGTTTTCCTTCAGGACGTCTTATGTGTAGGTTTTAGACAGGCATACATTAAACACAATTACATATTTGACTGAATGCAGTCTGGGCATTTGAGCTAAATTCTGAATCCAAGCAGCCACACATCTATAAGCTGGCTTTGGGGTTTGAAATGCATTTGAAACAATGTCACTCAGGCTGTAGATGCAGAATCTGTAAGTTTTCTTCACTGTACATGATTCCTCCTTTCTCCCTAGTTTTCCCCTAGCTTTTTATGCTGTAAAACTGTACAGGGATGAAAATGTAATATGCTTTCTGAATTCCAAAGATACTGAAGCAGAGCCTTAGTGAACAAATAAACAAAACATACCATGCCTTAATGTCCCTCTTTTTACTCTTCTGAAGTCAGATTTTTGGCCAAAATACTTGACCTGTGATAAATCCTTCAACCTCTTCTGTAGCTAGATGTCAACAGAAATGCAACATCAACTGCGCACAGATATCACTGAAAACACGGGGGGCCATACTGTCTAAGCAAAATTGCCTTTTTTTTGGGTGCATAAAACCATGAACCGGGTGAAACTGAATGCTATGACATATACTGTAACATACAACTCTAATAACAGTCTCTTTGGAGATTTTTGCTTAGGAAACAAACCTGTTATTGCAGTAAAAAGACCACAGGAAGATTTGGGGTTTCCACCTCCCTCCTCTTTGCCACAAGCTGTATCAGTATACAGTAGTTACCAACTGTGAGTAAACTGTGGGGTTTTTTTTGTTTGTTTTAAATTGGTTACAGCTTAAACATATGCAGAAGGCTAAACAAAACATCCTGCTACTGCATGTAAAGGTTGAAAATACAGGCATATTAGCAAACAGCACAGTATCAAAACAGTTCCCCCTGGCTGCTGAAATAGTTAAGACTGTTTAGAAGGTAAAGTGAAAAGAAGGCAGCGTTAACTCTTTAGCTGCTGTCTCACCATCTGTGTAACAAACATTGTCACACTCTGAAAAGCACTTAGGTAGATTTACCGGTACCTTTAAACTGACAGCTGTATCTAACTGCACTTGTCTCTTAGCATATGTCCTCTCGTTAGCCATTTTTCAAAAACTGGTGTAAGAACTGAAACCCTTCAATTCTATTTATCATTTTTTAGGTAGCACTTGAAACAATTGCAGAGCAAAACTGTACTTGGTATTCTTTTAAAGGCACATTCTTTCTCTCAAACTCCCCAAAGTGATCATTCATATTTACAACCTGGGATACAAAACATTTTTCTGGTTTTAAGCTCAGATGGTAAATATGCTAGGTGCATTGATAAGGAAAGGGACCCCCCCCCCCAAACAGTATTAACAATACTTGTTCATCAAGGTGACAGATTTATTTATGTTTAAGTAGAACTGCTTTGTGACTTTAATCAGAAGACCTTTATGTATTCATATGTGATACAGATACAAGGAAAGTGTAATTCGCTGTAAGTTAAAATATAGCAGCTGTTTAATAGTGACCAGGGAGACTACCCTGAGGAGTCCAGTTGCAGAATTCAGGACCTAGTGTTAAATAAAACAGAAAATGCGTAATCTAATGGCATACCAAATGGAATGAAAAATGATGATTCTGTTCAAACAGGCATTAAAGTTATTCAGTATTTCACAGATCAATCAGTTAGACCTAAGCTTTGCAGTACATTGCAATCTGAGAAATCACTGGAGCATATGACGAAATAGCCAGCTTTGCTATGCATACTATGTAACTCGCCAGTAATGTGTATTTTTTCCCTTTTAAGGTCCATAGCAGTAGAGCTGAATGCTACTTCTCAGGCTGGACAGGCTGTGATGAGCATTTCTGGCTAATAACACGAAGTTGCACAGGGTTTTAAGGTTAGCTAGTCACCAACTAAGCACCGGCTGAAAAGATGCTTTAGGAGAAACGTATCCCGGATTTGCCATCAAGTGCTTTAAACTCCTTTAACATGTCCATCGTTGCATCAGTTTTCGTTTTCAAGACCCTTTTCGGGAGCAGTCTGTAACAACCATCGCGGGGTGACGAGGGCCGGCAGCCAAGCTGCCACCGGCACCCGTTACCTGCAGCGCCAGCCCCAGCCTTCCCAGGCCAGCCCCCGGCCCCCCTCCGCCGGCTCCCCCGGCTCTGAGCGAGGGGCAGCCCCGCGGAGAGGGCAGGTAACGCCTCCGCGGAGCCGCAGCGCCCTCAGCCCCTGCAGTCCGCACGCTTCTCCGAAACTCGCCGTGCTCTCCGCGAGCACGAGCCCCAGGCTCCCCAGGGCGGGAGGCGGCGGCCAGCGCCCTCGCGTAGCACCTGCGTTCCACTGCACCCTCCCGGTAGTACTGAGCCATCTGCCTCTGGCCGGTCCGCAGCCCCCCGCTCAGCCGCTGCTGGCCGCAGGAGACGCTGGCGGGCGCGGGCTCCAGCTGCAGAGTGCGGTGCACTGCCTCCGCCGCAGCGAAGTTCTGCGGCAAACCCAACCCGTCCCTCTGCCCGTTACGGGGCTCTCCCTCTCGGTGCCACCGAGCCCCGCGGTGCCCGCCCGTGGCAGGTGAGGGTCGCCACGGCAGCGACCGCCGGATCCGACTGGCTTACCCTCATTTTCCTGGGCGACGTGTACATGCGCGGGGACAGGGGCGGCAGCGCCAGCGGCACCGCGGCTGACAGCTCTACCCGCCCGCAGCGGAGCTGCCGCCCACCCCGGCCCCGCTCCCGCCGCCCGTGACGTCAGCGCCCAGCGCCGCGCTCGGTTGGCTGAGTGCGAGCGTGGCCGGTTCAAACGGAGCCGAATCAACGGTGCGTGGGCGAGGGCGGGCGGGGGACAGTGCTGTGCGCTGCACGGGGCTGTCACCTCGTTTCTCTGCGCCGCGCTCAATACCTCGAACGTACTCCTGGGTTTATGGAAACATCTGGTGTTTATGTGTTTGATTTTGTTTCCCGTTTGGTTCTCCCCCGCCCCAGAGAAACGTTCCCCAGGCACCGCGTGGGTCTCTGAAAGCTCCTCACCTGCGTGCCCCTTGCCACCTTCCTATCCTGTCAACCCATCCCTGCCGCGCACGGCGAAGCGCAGCACGGAGGTGGCAGCCGGCCAGCCCGGCTCCGAGTGAGGCCACGCTCCTCACGCGGCGCGGCCTTGTGCAGGCCGGTGCGGGAGACGTGGTCCAAGAGAGTTGGGACGCCCTGCGTTGCTTTCCCGCTGCTAAGCTGTTTATGCGGGCACGCGTGGCAGCACCCGCCGTAATTGCTGCAGCACTGAAGGGATGCCGCCCTACCCTCCCTGCTAATTATTGTTTATATTCTTCTTTCTGCCAGAGTTGTTTCTCCTTCCAAATTGCCCAGGCCAATCATCTGATAGCTCAGGGCTGGTCATAAACTGCCGGGCTGGCGCTGGACCAACTCCTGTTGTTGCACACCCAGGCATGAGTGCCTATCTAGAGCCTGATCTCCCTTGGAAACACTTGATGGGTACATCCAGCCATCTTGCAATCTCCCTCCCCTCTAGCCCTAGAAGCAGCTGAGGGTTGCCATCTTTGCAGACTTCCCCTCCATAAATGTACTTTCCCCAACCTGTTTCTCATTTTACTTGAATAGGGATGTTTTCGTGTTTGCCCCATTGTCTCCAGGCATTCATTAATTTTTTAATATTTATGATTACACTTAATTATCTAAGGGCTCTATTTGAATATGTAGCAGAAGGCTTCACTGGTTTCCATGGTGATTAATGTGGGAAAAGCCTTTTTGGAAGTAAGCATGCCAGTATGGGTAGGTGGGCATGGCAAGTCAATCTGGGAACATGCACATACGCAAGAGTACAAGAAATATATTCACGTTTGCTCACCATTTGAGGACAAGCACTGTCATCCATCCTAAATATGTATTAGTTTTAAAAAGATCATCATCTTTACTGCTTGCATATTAAATTCCTTCTGGTTTCTAAGCCTTAACAGATCTAATAGTGGGTTTATTTTCCTTTTTTTAAAGTGAGATTTTTCTCTTACATGACAACTTGAAAAGTCAGTCCTTTTCCTCCCTGCTGAGTCTGCTTTGCTGTTAGTCTCACTCCTGTAGCTGTACTCCTTTAGAGCATGCAGGTGTTGTAGCAGATCTGATACCTGTTTACTCTGAGGATTTCCTCAGTTCTAGCATGCTGCCTGCTTCGGACACCCGAGGAAGTACCCCAGGTGGTATGAGCTTTGAATCCAGTGGTCTGACCTGCTGCAGTACCACATGAGGATGTGTGCAACTCTAGAGGAGGGCAAGGGACAAATTTTGCCCAGTCTTATTCAAATGTCTTTGAGATCTTTATAAAAAGGTTATTGAAACTAGGAGGTTGAAATCCATAGGCTAACACTGTATAATAAACATTTCTTTCTGATGGCTGTGAATACCTTCTAATAACTCATTTAATATTTACACATAAGAATAACCCCAGAAAACCTACAAATAAGTATGCGTGAAAAGCTTATATCAGATCTCATTCTGTTTCTGTGCTAATCCGTTTTCCTGCCTTACTCAAACATTTGCTGAGACTTGTAGAAGCATACCTCCATTAATCTTAGCAAAACGTATGTACTTAATTGAGCTCTAGTCATGGATACAATCTGCTGTAAACTAAACAAAAAAAAAAACCCACACTATTTTTTATTTGCTTGGGGTTTTGTTGGTTTTGTTTGGTTTTGTTTTTGACATTAGAAATGAGATCTGTCACTGCAATTAAGAAATGTAGGAATTTAGGAATGTTCTAATTAAGGAAAACTATACTAGCTAGGTATGCTTTCTCTTCTCGAAAAGTCATGTATCTGTGCTCTGGTGTATAGGCAAAGTCCTGTAATACCACTGCACAACAAGCACCATGAAGAGCACCTAAGGTTTCTACTAAGGTTTGGAATAGCTGACAGACAGTACTTCTTCTCCAGGGTACAGATTGCAAAGGAGCCGATTTCTGCCATAGTTGGATAAAATCCAAAGTAATATACGTA